GAAAAGCAAGGGTGTATGCATGTATGGGGCCACACGCGGCGATTTGGTTGACGGTTTGCCCGATAACGAACAACCTCAGTCTAGATAACACCCAAATGTCGTGTGCTGTGCGTCGTCGTATCGGCATCGGCATATTGTTTGAAGGACGGGACCCACACGGACATTCTATGTCGACTACCAACGACAACGGGAGACTAAACATACGACATACGCATATGGTCGGGGCATGGCGGCAAGTTTTCACAGAAGCTGGAGGATTGGTCCCTGATAGAAACGTGGAACGACCCCTCGTTAATACCCACGTGCCGGTCCCCCCGGGGGACCAAAGACGCTTGGACCTCATCGTCCCGGGGCTGAATGTTGAACATGGCCTCCCGCTCTTTTGCGACATTACCGTCATCTCCGCAATCAGCGGCAATGGGAATCCCAGACCGGGGACAAGCAACCGAGGTGGGGGGCTATTGGAAAGGGCTCAGCATGCTAATGATGCAACGTACCACGAAGTCATATCAACAGGCCTGGGATCTCTACAATGCCTTGGGGTGGAAACCTATGACAAATGGGGGAAACAATCCATTGCTCTTGTGCCGACTCTTGCCCGGGAACGCTGTCGCGGGCTGCCTGGCGCGATCCGCCGAGGTACCGAGCTGGGCTTACTTCACCGATGGTGGGGTATATTGGGAATTGCATTGCAACGTTCTGTGGCGAACCAGATACTCCAAACATACAGCGACCTCCCAACCACCCAATGTGAATCCGCCTGCCCGCTGGACGAGATTGCAGTTGTCTAATCCCGCGGCAGGCCCCCTCCTCCTTCCCCTCCTCCTCCTCCTCCTCCTCCTCCTCCTCCTCCTCCTCCTTTTTCGCTGCTTAGCCGCACTCTGGTGGCTTCGCTGGGCCGGTGTTTCACCCCGTTCTGGTTTCCAGGATGGCACTTTGAAATGTGCGTGCGCACGTAGGCCATCTTGGGAACTTCGTCGGCCAATGTGGCGGTGCCTTGGGGCGCATTCGGGCCTTCGTGCACGCCTGGTGTGCCGTCTCCGAACGTCGGGAAACATAACAAAAAAACATACAAAAAACTATGTGCAAACACGGAATTCCGCAACGCGGACAGAAAAGATGGATCCTTTGGTCAATACATCATAGTCCAAAACCTGAACAACAAAAACAAAAAAGAAAAAGCAAACGTGGATCTCCCAAGATCGCCGTAATTATTACATTGTTTGATATGTTTTTGGAACCGATCTCGCTCCACAAAAGGGAAACGGTATTTTTGTCACGCGCCCTTTGAATGCGTGCTGGCATTTGTGAGCGAAAAGGGCGAAGGAAAAGAAGAAAAAAAAACACGGAGGAAGAGGAAACAAGAAATTTCCGGCGCGTGAACAAGAAATTTCCGGTGCGTGTACATTAGTGTCCCACACAGCATACAAGACCTCACGACATTTGATTGCAAACCGGTGCCTAGTCATCCAGCAAATCGGGACGCTGATATTAAAAGAGAACGCGGGCACAGTCCGCCTTTAAGATCGAAGCATTCCTCAATACTTTTCGTGGAAATCTCCTCACGGGCCCCCTCCGTCCCAGTCCGGGGCAGCAGCAGAATAAGATACCAACGCGCATGTGATGAACAAACCATGCTTTCGTACGGATTGTACGATCATGCCGGTGAGCACACCTAATATATGCTTCCGGACAATAGAAGTCGCTTGTTATTGAAACCAATTGTGATCGAAACCAATTAAACCTTTCTGAATGATTGAACCCCATGTGAATTCCGGACTCGATTTGGCTTACAAGATATGTACTGAATTCCAGAGATGATTTGGCACGTAGTTAGCGTGACCCTTCTTGTCCAGCAGCGGGCTGGGGAAATTCCATAATTTCGATGGTTGGTTTTCCTTTTTGTCCTCCCCGTCCACTTTCTGTATCCATTATTCTTGAAACTTGTTTCCGGTTGATATTGAAACCAACGTTTTGTGTCTTGCTTGTAAAACGAGTGACACTTGATATTGAAACCAGTGACACTTGATATTGAAAGCAATGTTAAATTCTTCTTGAAACAAATCTTATGACCTCTCTTGGGTTATTCAAACCTGTGTTCTGTTATTGAAAACTGTGCCGCCCCAACAGCATCGCTACACATTGAAAAGGGATGCGGTTTTCTTGGGCTGCCAGCTGTTGTTTTTCTCTTTCGTGGACGAGTACGTGACATCGCGTTAGGTTCCGACGTCTTGCCAGAAGGAAAAATTCATGGACAGAAATGCGCTGAAACCGTGCTAATATCCGACGTCCTGACAGAGAACTGATCACTTGATTAATTCATGCTTGCAAGATCCTCACTCGGTTGGAATTCTGACCAAAAAATGCCAGAAACAAAAATCTACATTCGCGGATACAAGAAACAGCCTTGATGCATGCCAAGCACAATGTCGATAAACAAGACAAGCGTTGTCGAAAACCGAATCTGGCACTGCCGGACAAAAGCAACCCTACCATTATTTTTAGTCGTGGCTGGTTTGGCGTCTGTCTCTTCCAATATTACTTTTCCCCATCGGGGTGGGGTGTTGTATCATTGTTCCATCCTGGTCTTAAAACAAAAAAAACAATGCACACACCCTTTGGGGTCAAACATTTGGTCCTGCTTGTGAGATCTGGCAGCCATTTCCATGTCTTTAAACCAATCAGGCATGCCTAAAGGGTTCTTTCCTTACTTGCAAAAAATGGTGCCTCGGGGGGGCACGGCGGTTGTTCCCCGGAGATCCCTCGGGTTCCTCGGGTTCCCATGCAAAGCAATGCCAAGCAATGCCAAGTAAAACCAAGCAAAGCCAAGCAAGGCCAAGCAATGCCAAACGATGCCAAGCAATGCGAAGCAGTGAAAAGCAATGCCATCCCATGCGAAGCAAGGCCAAACAAAGCCAATCTAATGCGCCCAACGATGCGCCCGGCGACCCACCCATGCGGGTTGCCTTAACTAAATCAATGGGGGTATTACATTATTACCTCTTGTGCGCAAAACCACTACCCGTGTCAAACAAAACGAGACAACGTGCACTCCGCGGCTAAATCTAGATCGTGCGCGTCCATCCCGCGACCACTGTTTTTTTGAATATGGTGCTGGCCGACATGTTCCGATATATGCTGTCACGTGCGCGGGCGTACCTGGCAGACGCGGCGCGTGCCCCGAAGGTGGCGCACCTGAACACCTGGCGCATCTGACGCACCAAGCGTGCCTGGCATGCCTGGTCCTCCAACGTAGAGGTGTCCATCTATAGACGGCCGATGAACATGCTGAGGCTCGGGTGCCATTTGTGTGTTGGAAGGGTGGGTGGGAGTGAACGAGACAGCTTGCGGGCGGGGAGGGGCCCCTCCCTATGCCCCTGCCCCGTTGGGTCTGGCTGGGAGGGTCGCGTGTCGCTGGGGCGTCCAAGATTGCCTCGGCGAGAGAGCCAAGATCATTGATCTTACTATAGGTGTTGGGCCAATTGGCCTCCTTGGGGGGGAAGCTCATTGGATCCCCCCTTCTTTGATCGATCCCCAATGGCCCCGAGGTGGCCCCCGAGGCCCCCCATGGTGCCCAAGAGGGCCCCGAGAAGCGCCTAGGAGGCCCAAAGGCACTACAAAAACACCCAGGGGCCACAAGCAGCTTCGCAAGAGGCCCCCCGAGAGGCTCCCAAGAGTCCCCCAAGAGGCCACACGACGCTCCCCAAGAGGCACTCGGGACGCTTCAAGAAACACCCAAGACCGCCGAAGCCCCCAAGACGTGGCAAGACGCCGCAAAAGGCTCCACCAAGAGACATCCGAAGAGACTCCGAGAAACATCCAATAGTCCTCTGGCCTTTCTGCTCGCCCTCTTCCTCCTTCTCTTCCTTATCCGCCTATTTCTCCTCCCCCTCCCCCCTCCACAATGAAACCATGTGAATAATGCTCTCCCTCCTCCGTCGAAATTATGGGGAAGACCTTCCGTCCCCACCGCGTGCTCTTCTTAGGCACGCGAGATTTCAAGAACTCATGTTTCTTTTATGTCTTTGTCGATCGAATTCCGTCGGTCTTTCAGCAAGGTGCTCCCGCTGCAACGTGGGCCTCATCTTTTTTCGGATCGGCGCGCGGCTCCCGCCGTTCCGAACGGCGCTCTCGCCCCCCCAATGTGGGCCGCTCTTCCGGAACCGAGTCTTGCCAATTTCCCCAGCATGTCCCCAACATCTCCCAACATTTCTCCATCCACATCGCCTTTCCCCCCCCAAACTTCCACGTTTCTCTCTCCCCCAGAAAATTCCCCTTTTCTGACCTTCCCTGGTCCTCCAGTTCCTCCCGCTCCTTCCACTCGGGTTCCCGCTGCTGCTGCTGCTGCTCTTCCCGTCCCAGCGCGGGCCACTTTTCCGAATCCGATTTCTTATTTATCTTTGTCGCCTCCCTCATTTCCCATCCTCCGCCTTCCACTGGTCCTCCTGTTAATCCTCCTGCTCACCCGCCATCCCCTCCTGTGCACACAACTCTTCTTTTTTCCGATTGGGCGTGACACGACGTGGTCATTGTGTGTGAGTCGCAGGTCGGGTATGACACGCGTCCGCGGACATGGAAAACAGCAGCGCCATGGGAAGGGATGGGAGGGATGGATAGGATGTCAGATGAGGCGCGAGCGCACCTAGCTTGTCTACCTCCCACTCCGATTCTTCCCCCTCTCGGGGTATGACGTCTTCAGCCCTTTGACATCCCTAATCAGACATCGTCTGGGCATCGTTTCTGGATGGGCTAGCGGGGTTACGCGAGCAGCATGTGCAGGAGTGTATATTTCATAACGGTATTTGACCATCGTTTCACCGACCCCTATCTCTTATCGGCGCGGCTTGGCCCCCACTGGCCGATACGTCCCCCCTATAGATTGGGAATCGGGCTATTTCCTTCGGGTTACGTCGGGTATATCCCCAAGTGGGGTGCTGAGATGGTGTGGGTCTGGGTAGGGATGGGGATGGGGATAGGGACCGCTTAACGACGATACCTTTTTGTGTGGTCTCGGCGGGTGGTATATCACATACGCGTGAGCGGGGCAAATGATCTTCGTCATCCTGCCGTAGCTGAGCAAACAGCGCGGCACCGCAGCCTTGTGCGTTGTGCGACGCTCCTCGTGAAGAAGAGGAGCCTGCGTGCTGCTCTGGCTACACCCACGGCCTCTCCCTCACAACTCCCCCCTCGGATCCCTGACCTTGATGGTAAATATTGGCTCCCTATCCCGGTCATGCACCTCGAAATCGTGGCTGTGGTCCGTCGCCTGGCATAATTGCTGGCCCTCTTCGATCCAAACGAACCCAGAGGTGCTGTGCTTGAGCTCAATTTTCGCACCAGAATCAACCATCGGGTTGGAGAAACATATTTTCCATGGATGCAGAGCCTTGGTACGTAGGTCGTGGTTCATGTCCGCGAATATTATGGTACGGAACGTCATGTCCGTAGTTCGTAAAACAAACGAGCTGTTAGCGTCCACCTCGACTGGCGCCATCTCGCCTGGATTCGTGATGGCCCAGAATATGTCGTGCTCCATCCTGCTGGGATCTGGAACGCCGTACAGCGCGAAAGAGTGTATCCCGAGAGGGTCCACCCGCAGCCTGATCCTTCCAAGCGTCGTGGCGGACGCTCCACTGAACGGCCATGCAGATGCGCTGCCGAAGAGAGCCGCAAAAAACAGACCGAGGACGCCCGATACCGGCATGGTGCCGGACAATCGTGCCGTTCTGCGCGGGATGCCGGACAAGGGCTGTTGAACTCAGCCAAAATAGTTACGGAGGGGTCGGTTAAAAGATACGGACTGCTGCTGGGTGGCTATGACCTCCCAACCGGTCGGCGAGCCAGGAGATTCCCCTAGTGGCCCACCGCCTGGGGCTAGCGGCAACTACCATTCATTCCCAACTATTTATTCTCAACCCCACCGAAGACTCCAACGGCAAGGTCCGCATGGTGTACCCGTACCCGATTCGGCACACTGCTCACACACGTTTTGTGGCCCCATAAGGGGGCTCCACAGAAGGCCCAAACGGCAGGGTCCGCATGGCTTACCCGCACACGTTTCGGTACACCGCTCACACGCTTCGTGTGCCCGTAGGGAGCTCCACCGAGAACCCCAGCGGCAGGGTCCGCATGGCGTGCCCGCACCCGATTCGGCACACCCATCACATGCATCTTTGCTGCATAGGGAGCTCCACCGAAAACCCCAACGGCAAGGTCCGTATGGCGCACCCGCACGCGATTCGGCATACCCCTCACACGCTTCGTGGCCTCATAGGGAGCTCCCCGGAGTCCCCCACGGCAGGGTCCGCATGGTGCACCCGCATCCAATTCGGCACGCCCCGCACAAGTATCGTGGCCCAACACGGAGCTCCACCGATGTCCTCACTGGCACAGTCCGCATGGCGTGCCCCATGGGGAGCTCCACCGATAACGACCTTACAACTGCATATGGTTGGGTCCTTCGCCCGGATACTTACCATACTTGTTATTTGGCATTGTGCCTCTTGACTTGACCACACTGTCTGCCGCAGATACTCAAAGAAAATGTGTTGTCACAAGCGTCCGAAATTTCCCCCATCTACAAGGGAACTTATTTATCCGGTCGAAGGACCCAACTAGATGCAATTGCGAATACCGCATTGAGGGTACCGCTTTTGCTGAAGCTCCCTGTGGGGCCACGACCCTCGTCAAGGGCGCGCCGAAATGGGACGGGTACGGCATGCGGACCCTGGCACTGGCGTCTTCCATGGAGCTCCCTGTAGGGCCACGATCCTCGTGAGGGGTGTGCCGAAATGGGGCGTGTACCGCCTGCAGACCCTGACACTGGGGCCTTCAGTGGAGCTCCCTGTGAGGCCACCGTCCTCGAGAGAGGCGTGCCGAAACAGGGCGGGTTACGACATGCGGACCGTGGCGCCGGGGCCTTCGGCGGAGCTCCCCTGTGGGGCCACGACTTTCGTGGAGGGTGTGCCGAGATGGGGGCATGCACTGCATGCGGGCCCTGGCGCTGGGGCCTTCCGTGGAGCTCTTCCTGTGGGTGCCACGGGACGTGGGAGGGGCTGTCTGAAGCTGACACGCGGAGGGCGGAGGCAGGAACGGGAGGAGGGAATGAAGGGGGAAGCGAAGGGGGGAGTGAACGCGGGTCGCCGCGGATGCCAGACGAGGAACCAAGGCCACAAAATGGTCTGGAGAACGGCCTGGGACCAATCAACGTAAAGCTCTCTGGATCCCATGGAAAAGCGAATTCGACATCGCCGCAGTGGGGAATACGAACACGAGCAACGAGACAATACAGCAAGCCCAGCTGCGCGGAAAGCCATCGAAAAGATCGCGCAGCCTCACTGGATGACCCTGCTTCTTCTGGACATTGGAATGCCGTCTGCCACCTACGCAAATCCAGCACGGTAACGCGTGCTGCACTTTTCTCGGCGGCGAGCGAGGGGGGGAGATGAGAAGCAGAAGGCCTTCTGACAAGGCGGCGGGCCTTCTCAGAGGCCCTCGCGCCTTCCGGCAAGTTGGTCGTGCCTTCGGGGGAGGCTCAGGCAACTTCCGAGAAGGCCGGGGGACTTCCGAGCCTTCCGAGAGAAGGCCTTCGCTTTTGGATGCCACGACAATGGACACCCTAACAGTCCCATCATTGAATGTTAAAAAGTGTTTGAAATGTGGAAACATGTTCTAAACATGTTTCAAGCATGTTTTTTAACATGCTTAAGGCATGTTCAACACATGCTTTAGACATCTGGAACTTGTTTGGCAACATGCTTCCTCTCCACTGATCGTCCTCCACGAGCCTTCGCCCTCTCACTTCCCCCCCATCGCTCGCCGCCGACTTTCACGCAGCATGCTGCCCGACACGGCCGGCCGAGCAGGCGTCACGGCAGAACACTCCGGGCACGTGCACGGCCCAAGGCCCTCTTCTGGCGGGCGGCTTCTCGCTGGCTCGCCCGGTGCTTGGCGGGGCTGGCCCGCGGGAGCTTTCGGCCCGTGGGGAGTCGCGGGCGTGGCGTCGCTGGGCGGGGATTCGAGGCCTCCTGGATAGGGTCCGATGAAATGCGGTCGAAGCATCGCGCCGCATCGCTATACATCGGCGATGCATCGGCGACGCCGGCGCGGGGGAAATCGGACCCCTCATCGAGCCGCATCGCCGATGCATCGAGGATGCGGCGCGATCCTCCGGCCCCATCTACTCGGACCCCATCTAGGATCAGGTCGGGCCTGTCCCCCTGCAGGCCGATTTTGGACGAGAGATTAGGAAGAGTCAAAAAATACCCCAACAAATCTCCAAGAATGGTGAGACAGTCGTCCCCGTACTATTCCTGGACTACTTTTGAATCTTCCTCCTGTGGAGGGACAGGCCCGACTAACGTCCAGGAGGCCTAGAGTTAAGTCGGGCCTGTCCCCCTACAGGGGGATTTTCGACGAACAATAAAAAACACCCCCAAAATAATCAAAACATAGTCCAAAAATAGCCTGGGGACTTTTTTTGTTGTAAAAATGTCCTTTGACCTTGTTGGGGCATTTTTCGGATATTTTTCTTTGAATAAAATGTTTCGTCCAAAATCCCCCTGTCGGGGGACACGCCCGACACAAGCCCAAAACATAATACGGGGACAATTTTTTCAAACTATTTTTTGACCTTTTTGGGGGTATTTCATAGTTTTCGTCGACAATCCCCCTGACATAAGCCTAAGAGACATGGGGCCTTCCTTCCGCCCGAGGCCGGGGCGGCCGCGGAGCTCGCGGCCGCGCGATGAGCTGCAGGTGCTATCGCGAGCCGGAGGCGCGCGGGGCGGTCGGCCCGAGCTTGCGGCCCCTCCTTTTTGTTTGTGCTCTCTCTCTCTCTCTCTTTCCCCCACCCGCTCTCCCCCTCCCTCTCTCTGACTCTCTTCCTCTCTCTGTCTCTCTCTCTCTCTCTCTCCCCCTGCGCTGCTCCCGAGGCTCCACCAGCTTCTGGCGCAGGCACCGGGCCCACCCGCGCAGAGCTCGACGTGCACCGACCAATGGCCAACAACCACGGCGCGAGAGCGCAGGGCAGCGCTGGCAGGCAGGCACGGTCTCGGGCACCGACTGGAGCGGGGAGGGGCTCTGCGCAAGCGCGAGGCGAACCAGCGCTCGGCAGGCGCGGCCGCACCCGGCCGACGTGCGTGCGGACGAGGAGACCTCGACCTCCCCTGAGATCCGACGTAGCGAAAAAATTGCAACATCGTGAAAATCCGCGCCTGGAGCCCCGGAGCCCATCTTTCTGCGTCATTTTTCGAACCGGATCGATCTGTGAGGGTCCTGGGACCCGAAAAAAGGCGAAACCGCCCGGCTCGAAAAAATTGAGTCGCCAGGATCTCAAGGTCCACGTCGGCGATGGGAGGCACTCCTGCTGGCGCCGGAGCTCGGCCTGCCCGGCAATTCTGGGGAGTGGGCTCCGGCTCCCGCTCCGTTCGGGCTCGGCCTGTCGATATGGCCCCCCGAATTTTCGCGCCGACAGAGGCTTGCATTCAGCTGTGAAGCACGTTGATGCTTTTAGCTTCCAAGCGCGGCAAACACGGCAGCAAGACCGCGCGGTGTTGCTCGCAGGCAGAAGTCGTCGCGCGCACGGGCACACCGACTGTGGGGTCGCGAACCCTCTCGATCCCGAACATGTCTAGGGTCCTTGCAACGCTTTGCTCCCCGATCTGGCAGGGGAGGGTCTCGTCCAGTACCTCCAGGAAGGTCTCGGGGCACCCTTGGGCGCCATGGAATTTCAGATACTGTTAGCTAGGATTTCCAAGTTTAATTTGCGCCAGGAAGCTGCGCTCTCAGCTGTTCGGGAGAAGCACGTAAAGACAGGGCAGCATCGGCACTCACGGGCAAGGGGTGACGAATGCGGCCGCCCATGGAATACCCGAGGGGGCTCCGAGAGTGCACCATGTGCCCCCCCCCCTCCCCACACACACACACATGGCCCCAATACGTTCGAAGACGGCCCAGCGATCTGTGATGAACGAAGGTTGCGCGTGTGGCCAATGATTGGGCAATCTTGTGTCGCGTCGTGGCTCTCCCTGAGGGGCTTCTTGGGGCTTTCTTTTGGGCTTCAGGAGGGCTTCGTTCGAGCGGACCTCGAGACGGCTGTTGGGCACCCTTTGGGGAAGGAGGGGTCTCTCGGGGCCTCGTTCGGCATCCCCAGGGGGCGTCTTGGGCCGGGCCGTCTTGGGCCGTCTTGGGCCCCTGACAGGATCCTCTTTGGGGCCATTTGGGACCCCAGGATTTTACCAAGACTTACTTCCGGACCGGGAAGCGTCCGGACTGGGGGGGTGTCCGGACCCGGTCCGGACCGGGGGGGGTCCGGACCGGGGAAGTCTGGACCGGGGGGGGTCTGGACGGGGGGGGGTCCGGACCAGGGGAGGTCTGGACGAGCTCCGGACCTGGGAGAAGGATACGGGGGGGGGTCGGTCTGGACCGGGGAGGGGGTCCAGACCATGCAAGGGGGGTCCGGACCGGGGGGGGGGGTCCGGACTGGGGCGGGTCAGGAGGGCCTCGAGAAGGGTTCAAAACGGCAACGTAACACTCGCAATGGCCTTGTGTGCGGCAGGTCGTTTGGCTGTCTTGGGACCCCCTTGGGGTCCTCTTGGTGCTTTGTTGGGGCTTCCTTGAAACTCAGCGGGGCCCTAAGACGCTCCATTTCGTTACCCAAGTAAGCTTGCCTGCGGGCTTCTTACTTGTTGAAAAGGTTGGTGCCTCGTTTTCGTACGTTGCACGTTGCTCGCAAGTTCCCTGGGGTTCCCGGGGTGCCTCCAATTATTTGACCAGGGACCGACCCGGCATTCCGATGGAGCTACCACGAGATGTTCTTAGAAACCCAAAACTGTTCCTGAAACAATAACAGTGTTCTTAGAACATACAGCCGACGTGTTGAAACAAGACAGTCCCAGCCAGAAGCGTTCTAAGAACATCTCGTGCAGACCACAACAACTTCTTAGAACATTATTTGGTGTGCCTGTAGGCGAACCAAGACGCTTCGCCACTGCTTGACTGTTGTTACTTTGTCCGTTCCTCGGAAGTTCCCCAGGTTCCTCGCCTGGCGCCTCGTATTGTTACGTGCCCCCCGGGGCCTTCGCTGGAGCTCCCTATAGGGCCGCGAAACGTGTGAGTGGTCTGCCGAATCGGGTGCGGGTGCGCCATGTGGACGCTGCCGCAGGGGCCTTCGGTGGAGCTCCATATGGTACGAAGTGTGCTGGCGGTCCCCATCGGGCGCGGGTGCGCCATGTGGACCCTGCCGTTGGGGCCTTCCGTGGAGCTCCCTATAAGGCCACGAAGCGTGCGATGGGGTGCGGCGGATCGGGCGTGGGCATGCCACGCGGACCCTGCCGCTGGGGCCTTCGGTGGGGCTCCCTAGAAGGGCCACGAAACATGCAAAGGGTGCGCCGAGTCGGGCGCGGGTGCGCCGTGCGGACCCTGCCGTGGGGGCCTTCCGTGGAGCTCGCTGCTGTGCTACGGAGCGTCAGAGGGGTGCGCCGGGTCGGGCGCGGGTGCGGCGTGCGGACCCTGCCGTGGGGGCCTGCGGTTGAGCTCCCCATAAAGCCACGAAGCGTGTGAGAGATGTGCCGGATCGGGTGCGGGTACACCATGCGGACCCTGCCGCTGGTGGAGCTCCATATGCGGGTCGGAAATGAAGGGTGCGCGGAAATGGTGGGGAGAGGAGCCACACGCGTGACCCTGCCTCTGGGAGTTTCGGTGGCACTCCCTATGGGGTCATGAACCGTGTGAGGGGTGTCGACCCTGTCGGCTTGTGTGACACGTTTCTCCGTTCGAGTCGTCGTCGCCGTCGCCGCTCCCCCCTTCTTCCCGGGCCGTCCTCCTCAAGCGATCCAGCCGGGCGGGCAATCAACAAAGCTGCGATGGACTCGGAGGGGCGCCCCCCTCCCTTTGATCCCCTCCCCTGGCGGGGCGGGGGGTGGCTGCGTGGGGGGGGGGGGCGGCCGGGGGTCGCAAGCCCCCCCCTGGGGGGCGCCCCCCTGTGGGCACGAGGGGGCAGAGGGGGTGGTGCCCTCGGCGCCCCTCGACGCCCCTCCCCCGCCGAAGCCCCGCCTTGTCTGCTGTTGCGGGGGGTGCTGCGCGCTCTCCGGCAGGGCCTCCGGGGAGGCCTCAGATCTGCTCGGGGGCGACTCCGAGCGGCCAAGAAGCTGCCCCAGAGCCCCTCCCCCAGAGGTGCCCCCCCCCCCCACAGAGCCGAATAGGCCCCCGAGAGAGCCTCAAGAAGGGCTCCATCGCGTCAGCGTCGTCGTCGCCGCAGCCGTCGTCGTCGTCGTCGTCGTCGTCGTCGTCGTCGTCGTCGCCCATATTTTCCTGTATTTTGTGGGGGATCGACGATGAATGGTGTCTGTGTGTGTGTATGTTTTCCCTCCTGGAAAACCATGGATGCTGTCCAGGCCCCTCGCTCCTTGCCCGCAGGTCGGTGGCCCTGGGCCAGCAGTCCCCCCTGTCACCCAACGAAACGAGCGCGATGCCTTTCACTGGACCTCTCTCTCGCGGGCTGGGGCGAACTACAGCCCCACCAGCGCCGCGCTGGAGGGCGGCGGGCCCTCTCCAACCGCCGATCTACGACTCGCGGAGAGAAAATCTAGACATATACATTGGCCTTCAGACGTTCTGCTCTTGGTCAGAGGTGCTACTGCGGCAGGACGGGGGCTGGGCTGTTGGATGCCACGCCCTGCTGCTGGAGGAAACCAGCCAGGCGCCCGAGGCTATCTCCATATGATCCCGTTCACTGCTGCCACGCTGGGGCACAGCCCCCCATCGTGCTTCCGCCCAGCTCCCGCTCCGACTGAGGCCGCCGACGCCCTCGGGATCGAGATTTCCCTCCTGGGGAAGTTCGCCAATCTGGTGCCCTTCGACCCCAAACTCGTCGTCGATCTCGCGACTTCCTGCCTCGTGCGCCCCTGCATCCCTTCGGCTCCCGCCCTCGGCGTGCTGCGGGGACGCGCCACGCTGCGGGCTGTCGACCGACGAGCTGCGCGAGACGTCCCTGGCACTCCCCGGCTTCCCCAGACCCCCGGCGTCATGCTTCTTGTGAAGCGCTGACCCCCGATGGGACGCACAGAGACGTACTAATACTTCATATGTCCTCCTTGGAGGCGCGCGTCCGACCCGAACATATAGTATACCCATCTTGTAGTATATCGTTTCCCGAGCGGTGTGGTCAGAAAGCGCCCGCCACGACGCATATACTATGAGATTTCTCGGTGCGCGCGTTGCCCCTGGGGGGGCGACGCACACATAGTATGAGTATGTTGGGGTGACGCCGACCCAAAAAGGTCTGGACCCCTTCCCTGGGACTGTTTTTCGGCCCGAGTCCTTTCTTGACGGTCCCGAGGCTTATGTTGTTCCCATCCTACTTAAGGGCCACATCCCAGAAACAAGTTCGAGCATCTGGAAAAGCGTCAAAAGAGTGTCGAAGCAGAGTGTCTCCCAGGTTCCGACACGCGAGAACCCTCAAATTTCGGCACCTTTTCTGGTGCTCGAAACTCTCTCTGGTGATCAAGGCTAAAGTAGGCTGGAGCATCATAGCCTGCGGCACGGGAAGGGCCCCCATGGAGGCCGAACGTGCCGCGACGACCCCCCCCGCCCGTGACCTCTTGTTACGACGCGAGGGGCTTGGCTGCCCCGATGCGCAACACGCAACACATGCCGTATCGATACGGAGCTCAACACGTGGACTGAAAACGTAGGTCCGACGCGATGCGTCCGCCAAGACGTGGTCCAACGCGTGGAGCCAACGCGCAACGTACTGGCACGGACGTCTTGAACACGGGACGTGCTGCGTTTCAAAACCCCGGGCGCATCGAGGCAACCAAGCGCGAAGGAGGCCTGGCCCCCGCCGTGGCCCGCCCTGGGCCACTCCAGAGGGGTGCGGTTTTGGCAACGGGTGCGGCTTGCAGCCCGGCACCCTGGGGCACATCCTGGGGGGCACCCCGAGGGGCGCGCGGGGAGCCCCGAGGCCCGACGAGGCAAGCGTCGTGCCCCCTGGGCCCCAGCGGTGCCGATCGCAAACCACACCCCGGTGTAACCATTTGTAGTCGCCGCCGTCCGCTCTGATGTCTTCCAAGAGACCGTCTTTTTTGAATCGGCGATAACCCGGATTATCCCGGGGGGGAGGGGAGGAGGGGGCTGGCCGGTAACCTAATCCTCGCGCTGTGGGCAACCACCCTGCATCTGCCCGCGCCCCCCCTCCCGCGGACCTGCACAACCGGCAAGGTCAGGTTATCCAGGGGGGGGGGGGGGGAGGGGGGGCACGCCCGATAACCCGGGTGATCGCCCGACCCTAAAAAAACAGTCTCCAGGACGACCGCCCCGGCGAGCGCGGCTCCGAGGCCTCCCGCGGCCCCGCGGGCCCCGCGGGCCCCGCTCCCCCCTGTCCCGCCCGGGACGCCGAGCCCCGCTCCCAGAGCAACGCCGCCGCCCGCGCCGCCGGAGGACGAGGGGGGAGGGAGGTGGAGGAAGGGGAGGGCGAACGTGAGAGGAAGGCCTCCTCCTCCTCCTCCTCCTGACCTCCTCCTTCTTCTCCTGACCTCCTCCTCCTTCTGACCTCCTCCTCCTCCTCCTTCTCCTGACCTCCTCCTGACCTCCTCCTCCTCCTCCTCCTCCTCCTCCTCTTCCTCCCCCTTCTCCTGACCTCCTCCTACTGATCGGCGCGCGCGCGCGCCGACATCATCCAGCTTGGAGAAGTGTACGTGTGTGTGTGTGTGTGTGTGTGTGTGTGTGTGTGTCTGTGTGTGTGTGTGTGTGTGTACATGTGCACCCGCCCCGCGACCGACAACCTCATTGTTTCGATTGGACGCCTGCGCAATTTTCAGCAACGGAAGTGCAACCCTAAACGAGGCAGAGACAAACGGAGCTTTATCCATGGCCGTTCATGTCAATTTTGAGACTTTGAGCTCTCATGTAAACGACAGAGATCGGATATTTTTCGAATCGCCCCTGGCAGGACATGCGCAGGTGAGGCACCAAGCCGAGATGGAGACTGAAGGGATATTTCGAGTAGGAACGGATGCGGGCGGGCCTCTACGAACACACACTTTAGCTGGCGCTGGGGCACGGCAATGCGGAGGGCCAGGCAGAATGGGGATCGGGATGAAGGAAGGGCACGAAGAGCCTCCGTCTACACGCTGTCCAAACCAACATCCTTGTCATGCAATCGCCGCTCCGTGGCCACGGCTGCCTGCCGAAAAACTCTAAATACTCGTTAGCGACGCCGGTTTGCAGGCAGGCCGCCCGCGGCGGGAATTGGTCATGGCACCGCGGACTCGGGTGGCCCACACTGTTCCTCGACGGGTGGTGTGCAATCGTCGAACGACGCAGGACATCGTATCACACACGCAGAGGCTCTTCGACCATGCGTGAAGCTATATATCAGGGCCGATTCGCACGTTGCCAGAACGTGCAGAACTGTACTGGAAACAACTCACCTTTCGGGATCGAACGTCGAGAACTGGGATACAGATGCGAAATACATGAAAATCCATCACAGCGAAGACCAGCAATCCTTCAAACAGAATTGTCTGAGAAGCGGCGAGTCACGAGCCGATGGCGTGGCCGCCGAGCGGCTCGTAGCGCGGCTGCCACCAAGAAACTTCATGGCTCCCTAGCCGACGCACCTCTGGAACCAACCTTTGCCGTAGAAGATGCACAACTCCTCGCCTGCGTCGATGTCACGGGCTGCGTAATAGCGCTGGCACACGGCGGGCACTGGACCCAGTGTGTCTGACGCAGCGCCGACGGCGCATTTCAAAACGTTGGGCTCCTCTCGGTGGTTGTAGACACTACCGTGCCCCAACGCCACTCTGGACACGGTGGGATGAGGCCCTGCGAATTCGTAGTCCCGGAATGTTTGTCCCACCTGCCTCGAGGTAGATATCATGAGCGACGGAACCACCTCCACCGTCTCGCCCTTCTTGAAGGACCTTGTGGCGAATACCCCGTTGCCATGGAGTGGTGATGAGGAAATTTTCACGCCGGAGGGAGGGTCCATGCTGTAAGGTCCTCCGCCGGTGGACGGGACGAAGAACTCATCATAAAGCTTGGAGGGGACGGTTGAGCCTGCATCGGCGTCCATGAAGCGCAGCGAGCTGCTGATAATGTCGCGCAAGGAATTATGGTCGCCAGTCCGCTGCCTCTTCACACAGAGCTCCTGGCCGGCAGCGATGATCGCGAATGCTATCAAGACGAGGTATGGCCGCGGGACGCCGTGCGCGTCTGGTATCTCCTGGTACTCCCACCTCAGGTTGGCGACGTCGCCCTCGGTGGGCACCTCGTTGTAGAGGCAGCCGAAGCCCAGGGGGAAGAGCATGGGCTCGCCTGGCCCGCGGCCCCTGTCGAAGAGCCAGGGCCGCAGCCACTGGCCGACCATGTTGTTCGCCCGCACGGGCAGGCAGTAGCAGCGCTCCACCACCTGGCCGCGGCCGATGCGCTCCGTGGCGAAGACGCCGAGGGCCCCGTCGCTGCCCGTGCGCCAGACGTGGCTGAACGGCAGGGCCTCGGGGGAGCGCAACAGGCAGCCCGAGGCGGCGGCCGCCAGCACGCAGCCCGCCCGCCGCGACCACCCGCGCCGCGGCAGCGCCGCCGCCGCGCGGCGGACGGGGGCACGCTGGCCAGGCGCCATCGCCCAAGACGGGCCGGGCCTTGCTGGGGTCAGGTCGGGCGTGTCCTCCCACTAAGGCGGCTTTCGGACGCAGAATGGAAGATGGCCAAAACATACCCCCAAAGGGTCAAACATTAGCCAAGGCATCGTCCCCGTGCTATTTTTTTTTTTTGACTCTTTGGGGGTCTTCCTCCTGTAGAGGGACAGGCCCAACCGAATGCCAGGAAGAGGCGGCGAGATCTGTACGGGTCCACTGCGCCCCAGGCCGGGCCCATCCTGTGCCCAGGGGCGGCCTGTGCCCGGGGACGCCTCCCTGGCCGGGCCAGGAGGGCGCCTGCACCGCTCCTGGGCCCAGGAGGGGCCTGGCCTGGGGCAGTCCGCGGACAGGCAGTGCTCGCGCCGCCCTGCAGAGGTGGCTCTGGCTCGCGGTGCTCCCAGCTTCTCGCGCCGCCTGGCGGCCTCTGGGGCCCCCTGGGGCCTCGTGCTGGGGTGCTCTGGAAGTCTCCTCCTCCTCCTCCTCCTCCTCCTCCTCCTCCTGCCGGCGCCTCCCCCCGGGGGAAAGCTGGGGCCACCCTGGGCCAGGGGCACTCCTCGCAGCCACCCCGGGCGGGGGGGCGGCTCGCGGGGCAGGCGGCGAGCTGGGAGCCGGCCGCCCCCAGGGCCGAGGCAGCTGCAGAGCCCGCAGGCCTCAGGAGGAGTGCAGCAGGAGCTCGACCACGAGAAACCTCCCACAGGAAGCCCAGCCCTGAGACCTCAGGACGTTCATGGAGGTTTGGTGCGGCAGCGCCACGCTTTCCATCGCAAAACCATGGGGACCTAAGAAACTCAGGGCACCCTGGAGGCAGGCAGGGTGCTTCTTGGCATGGGCTTCCTCTGTCGGGAGGATCACCAGCAGGAGCAGCATCCCAAGAGCCCTTTCGGGCGTGAGTGGTTTAGGGAGTTTCCTCCTCAGTTCCCTCTCTCTCTCTCTCTCTCTCTCTCTCTTTTCGGGAAAGGTTTACCTCTCACCCTGCCCCCTGGACCTGGAGGGGGGGTGCCGCGAGGGGTTGGATCGTCCAAGATGGCCTCGGCGAGACGGCCGGCATCATTTGTTTTACGAAAGTTTTGGCTACACTTCGGCCTCCCGGGGGGACATTCGTTGTAACCTCCCCCTTCTTTGATCCATCATTTCCGAGATGCTCCTAAGATGACCACCGAGGCTCCCAAGAGTGCCCCAAGAGGGCCCCGAGAGGTAGGTGCCCATGAGGTCCCAAGAGGCACCCAAAATGCCCCCAAGGTGCCCCCAGGAGGCACCCGAGAGAGACGCCCCGAAGAAGCCCTGAGAGGTCCCCCTATACATGCGCCCGAGACGCCCCCGAGAGGCCTCGGCGGCACGGCACCGTTGATTCTACACAGGCTTTGGCCATATGTTGGCCTCCTCGGGGGGGGGGGGACCCTGATTTCGGGAGCGGCCAAGAGGGGGGGCCAGGGACGTGATGGAATAAGAAGAGGCGCCATGAAATCTGGGGAAATGTCATGGCCCCCCGCCATGATATCCCCTCCCCTAGTCATCACCCCCCTCTTTGCCGCCCCCGATGTACAGTCGGACTTCATTGGACAGGACATGCGAGAGGACAAAAAGACCCTTCCGAGGCCACATTGCCATAGGAATGCAGGAGGCTTGGGTCGCGAGACACAGGACACACAGGTACCCTTGATGAGGCAGGGTCGACCTACTAATCCGGGCCGACTGTAAGGAACCCCCCTCCTTTGATCGATTTCCTCCAAGATGACCCCAAGATGGCCCCCGAGGCTCCCAAGGGTTTCCCAAGACGGTCCCAAAGGACGCCCAAACGGCTCCAAGAAGCACCCCCACCGAGAAGCCCCCAAGATGTCCGCAAGAGGCTCCCAAGAGACCCCAAGAGGCCTAAAGAGGATTCCTAAAGGCACCCAAGACGCTCCAATAGGCCTCGCAGAGAAGGCCAAAACAATTAATTTCACTACGGTTCTGGACACATGTTGGCCTCCTGAGGGGACTTCGATTAAGGAGCTCCCTCCTTTGATCGATCCCCTCCAAGATGGCCCCAAGCTGGCCCCGAGGCTCCCAATGGTGCCCCACAACGGCCCGAAGAGGTGCCCAGGTGGCCCCAAGAGAACCCAGAGAGGCCCCCCGAATGCCCCCTAAGAAGCTCCCACGAGGCCCCCGAGAGGCCCCAGGAGCTCCCGCAGAGGCACCCGAGACGCCTCATGAGGCCCAGGGACTGCCAAGAGACCCCCGAGATGCCCCAACCGAACTCCAAGAAACTTTCGAAAGACATCTGAAGAGACGCCGAGATGCATCCAGGAGGCCTCTGGCCCGGCTGCTCGCCTTCCTCCTCCTCCTCCTCCTCCTCCTCCCTCCTCTTCCTCTTCCTCATCCGTCTATTCCTCCTCCTTTCTCCTCCCTCCTCCCCCTCCCCCTCTCCCTCCTCCTCCTCCTCCTCCTCCTCCTCCTTCTCGTCCATTCCTCTTCCTGATGCACAACTTCTCCCTGTCGCACCCCGACGCCAGTTTTTAGGGCGTGCCGGGCGTTTCGCCTGAGACTTCCTCACCACTTATGACCCTGGAGCTTAAACATTGGCAGCAATTTCACAGATGGAGGGCGGGTCGTGTTCAAAATGTGGCTCCCGCCTTAGCGCCGCGCACATTAGTGTTTCAAACATCCCAGTGTTTCGCGGATTGAGGGTGGCTGGTTTTCAAAATGTAGCTCTCGCCTTAGCGCCGCGCACATCCGTTTTAAACATGTGCAAGAGTTGCACGGATTGATCGAGGGCGGTTCCTTTTCAAACGGTGGCTATCGCCTTAGCGTCGGGCACATTTGTTTTCAACATTTGCAAGAGTTTCACGGGGTCCCATGGTCAGCATAACAGAAAGGGTGTTTTGAACGGATTCACGGTTTTGAGGGTGCAACAATTATGTTGATTCGCGGTACTGACGTCCCAAGAGAGGCGTTCAGGCACGATTCAGGATCGTCGAGACGCAACAGTCAAGTTGATCCGGGGCGTTGGGATCCCGAGAATACTCGTTTGGCACGCTTCATGGTCTTCAAACGGTTGTCTTCAAACGAGGCAGTTTCCTCAGTGGAAATGAACCGTTGTAGGGGCCTATGAAAAGGGAGCTTGGAGGGAGGGTTGGTTCCAACATCGTTGACGGCCCTTGGATTTACACTGGTCCTCTTCCTCCTCCTCTTCCTGCTCCTCCCTCCTTCTCTTGGAGTCTGACGCCTTACCCAGTCCTTCATTCCACTGCATGCTCCTCCACATCCCTGATCAGGGCAACTCGTCTGGGCATTGTTTCTGGATGGGCTAGTGGGGTTACGCGAAGCGTCTAGACCAGGGAGGATCACCAACAGGATCAACACAAAGCAAGACGACGGCGAACTTACACAACGGAAGAAACGTCGTGTTCAAATAAACGGGAACCGTGGGTCCCGAAACCAAGGCGTTCGTTGTTGAAGGTGTATTCGAGGGCTCGGGCTAGGACGAACGTCGTGCAACGAACTGTAAACAGAAAGGCACACACGTATAAACGCATATTAGCCCCCACTGTTGTCCCCCCGCCGCCGCTGCCCTCCACTAGCCGAGGGTCGCATTGATTGGAAGACAACCGTACTTCACAATCATGGGGCGGTCCTTTGACTTGCGGGCTAAATATTACTCCGCAAGGTGCTTCACAATTGAGGGGCGGCCCTGGCGTGTTGAAAATCGAAGGTGCTTCACAATCGTGGGGCGACCTCGTGGGCGGTTATATCTTTGAAGTGGTCACGTTTTTGAAAACAACCGTGCTTCACAGTCGCGAGGTGGTCCTACGTTTTGAAGGGTTAGGTGTGCGCCAATCGTGGTGCGGCCCTGCGGGCGGGCGTTCTTGGAGCGCGGACCCGTTGCTGAAGCGCCCTGGCGCCTTGGGGAGTGAAGAGCGCTTCACCGTTGTAGGGCGGCCCTGTGGGCTGAAGTTTTCTCATGTTCAAGGGGCTTCGTGCACTTGTCGTGAGGCGGCCCCGGCGCCTTGAGAGGCAAGTGTGCTGCACGCTCGTGGGGTGGCTCTGGGGGTAGATGTAGGACATGGGGCGGAGGAGGAGGAGGAGGAGCAGGAAAGGGGGGGGACGAGGGGGAAGAGGAGGAGGAGGAGGAGGAGGAGGAGGAGGAGGAGGAGGAGGAGGAGGAGGAGGAGGAGGAGGAGGAGGAGGAGGAGGAGGAGGAGGAGGGGGAGGGAGGAGGAGGAGGAGGAGGAGGAGGAGAAGGAGGAGGAGGGGGGAGGAGGAGGAGGAGGAGGAGGAGTCACAAGAAACTCAACTCTGAGACCCCAGGACGCCTATTGATTTTGGTGGGGAGCGTCACGCTTTCCATAGCAATACCATCGAAACCCAAGAACCTAGGGCACCCTGGAGGCAAGCAGGGTCTTTCTTGGCATGGGTTTTCACTGTAAGTGCGCGACACCTGTGGGCGGATGTATGCTCGAGTGTTGACCAGGCCGAGACGCCAACCTGCAGCACAGGCGCGGAGGGTGCCTCACAGTCGTAAGGCGGGGCGGCACGGAGGTGAACTTTTTGTCCCCCAAAAAGGCCCGCTCGGCAAGGCAAGGAACAGCACGAACACGGCTATATGTCGCAGCCGGCGCTGCGCGAAGCGTCGGCAGCCAGCGAGCCAACGCGGGAAACAAATCGTTGTTGGTCGCGGCGGCGCGCCCCCACAACGCCCGAGAAGATGAACGTATCTCGGAGGATGGGCCCGTGCTGAAAAACAATCGTGCGCCACAGATCTAGGGTCGGCCGCCCTCCTCCTCCTCCTCCTCCTCCTCCTGAAGAGCAGCGTGCTCTTCGCAGCCGTGGGGCGGCTCTGCATGCGGGAGTTTCTCAAGGTGTGCGTCGCAGTCGTGGGGCGGCCAGCGGGCGAACGTCTCCTGCAGCACGGGCCCGTACTCTTGAGATACAGTCGGGGCGTTGACCTAAGGAACCCTAAATAAGGAGCGAGGCCCCTTTTTCCCAAATGTTAAACTTGATTTCCCATCGAAAACATAAGGACAACCTGAGGCAAGCTGCGAAACACTTGAGGAACGCGGAGCCTCTCCCCACCGAAAAGGGTTCCTTCTTCAGGGCCCCGACTGTAGTGGTGCTTCACAATCGTGGAACGACCCTATGGGCGGAAATGTCCGAGAGCGTGGGCCCGCATTGGAGGATAATCGTGCTTCGGAATGGGGGGCTGCAGATCAGCGACCCTCTTGCTGCGAGTTCGTCGTTCCGCACGGAAGCTCCTCGTCATAGCGGACCACCGCGATTGCATGTTCGCTTCCCCGTTCAAGGATGCCCCCCCCCCAAGCCCCTAAATTCTTCGATCGACGGATCCGCAGAGGGCACAAGGGTGAGAAGGGGGTGATACGGTAGAGGGAAACACTCACTAAACACTCCCCCTGCCCCCCAAACTCAAGGTTGGCACGCGCGGGGGAGATCGCGGCCGAGGTGCAGGTCGTCAGACCCACCGCCAGCTTTGAACACTGGGGGGAGGGGTACACATCATTCGTTTCTAATCGTGCCCGTTTCTAATTGCGCTCGTTTCTAATTGTTCCTGGCCTCCTAGTGGCCAGGAAGAGGCCCAGGATAGAACAATCAGAAATGAAAGGATCGTGCCCTCCCCCAAAAAAACAACGAACTTTCGAAGAATAAGGAATGAACAACGTGTAGGCGTTGACAGATGAATGCGGCACGAGTGTTCGCCATTTCTTTTTCCGAAGACTGTAACCAGAGGTGCGGCCCCTCGGCGAGGGAGGATCGACTGGTCCTCCACACCCTGTGACCACGGCACCGCGGCTGCACGTCACGCCCCGCCTGAAGTCACGAGGCTGGCGACCCCCCCGTCACCGGACACCGCCCCCCAGGGACGCCGGCGAAGGGGCTCGCTCGTGCCCTTAACGAGGTGGTCGCGACAATGCTCCTCCTTCACCTCCCTGTCCTCGTCCTCACCCTCTTCCACCTCCTCCTCGTCCTCCTCCTCCTCCCCCTCCTCCTCCTCCTCCTCCTCTCTTCCTCTCCCAAATGTCCCCCCAAGGGTTTCCACAACAGCTCACGGAACACACAGTTCAATAACTTGGCCAAGCTTTGGCCCAACGTTCGGCAACATCGGCTTTCCCAGGAAGGTGCGGGGCGACCATGACTCGCCGATAAGAGGCTTGCAACAGAGGATAATATTGGTGCAAAGTATAGGATGCACATCAGTTCCGCGAGTCCTCCAACTGGAAGTCCATGGCAAATGTGCCCATGGCTTCATGGCGCAATGAACTCAGCACCGCATGATCGCATCGAAGACGACGACGAGCATAATGCATAATATGAGCATTGCTGTGATGATGACACATCATAAGGTGCGTCGGGATATGTCTAGGCCATCGTGGCAAACGTCACGCGCACAGGAAAGGCAGGGGCAGAAGCCCTCCCGAAATGACTATGCGATCATGACCATTAAGTAACCGCGTGCCCGCTACTGGCATAATGATCTTCGGGCCAGGGCGCAGCGATGCACCAGCACTGGGGTACAGTACACCCATGCGATGAGAAACCCTGCTGTGCTGTAGGAGCTCGATCACGAGAATCCTTCCACAAATAACCCAACCCCGAGACCCCAGGACGTCCGTTGATTTTTGGTGTGGGAACGCCACGCTGTCCATGGCAAAACGATGAAAACCCAAGAAACCCAGGGCACCCTGGAGCTTAGCTGCCCCGATACGCAGCACGCAGCAGGTATCGTATTGTTATTGTTACGGAGCTCAACGTGTAGGCTGAACACGTAGGTCCGACGCGATACATTCGCCAAAACGTGGTCCAATACGTGGAGCCAGCACGCAACGTATTGACACGGACGTCTTGAGCACGGGACGTGTTGCGTCTCAAAACGCGCGCATCGAGGCAACTGGGCCCTGGAGGCAAGCGGGGTGCTTCTTGGCGTGGGCCTCCACTGCAAGGACCCTCACGGCCGTGAGCTCTTTGGACGGCGTGCCGCCGCGGCGGCCCCGGCGGCGCGCGCTGCCCTGCGAGGGGGCATGGCGTGCCGCGCCGCTGCGCGGGGGTGCGGCGAGCTGGCGCGAGCTCGGCGCGCGGACGCCTCGGAGCCGCGCAGCGGATGCGACGGCGCGCCGCACCGAGGCGCGGTGGGCCGGAGCTGGCGCAGCGACGCGCTGTCCACAAACCTGACCAGACAAGAACGGGAAGCGCGTGTACAGTGGGGGCCTTGACCCAAGGAGCCCCAAATAAGGAGCGAGGCCCTTTGTTTCCATAAGTTAAAATTCGATTTCCGATCGAAAACATCAGGACAACCTGAGGCAAGCTGCGAAACACTTAAGGAACGCGGAGCCCCTCCCCAACGAAAAGGGTTCCTTCTTCAGGGAGCGGGAAGCGCGTGCATGTGTGAGACGATTCCCTTTTCTCCTCCCGGGACTTCACCACCGGGCTCTTGTCCAAGGTGTACCTTTTCCTGCCCGTCCCGTTCGGCACCGCCCGATCCCCGGGCTTCGCCCGCTTCTGGCCGCGTGGGGCCCCGACTGCTCCCGCCCTTTCTCTGCCAATTAAAGCTGTGCGCGTCCCGCGGGGCTTTTAGCGGAAGAGGCTCGCTCTCGCCCTGCAGATAAGAATGTATATATATATATATATATGTGAGACGCGCGCATGTGGTGACGTGCGCGTGCTGTCCCCGACCCCTGCTGGTCCACCAGGACCTGCCAGGGCGTTGCCGTCGTGAGCGCCTGGCTGGCAGGCGCAGTCGGCCAGAACTGGCGGAGAGACACGCTATCCACAAATCCGCCGACCCCTCGTGGGTCTCTAGGGGGCCCCAAGAGGCCAACATCTGTGATTTCCGTTGTCTTGTTTCAATGTTTTTCGCTTTCTCGCCTTTTCAGCTTCCCGACGCTCCAAGACCGCCCATCAGGCCTCCAAGACCGCTCCAAGACGGCGCAAGAGGCCCCACGACGCCCCCCAAACGGCCCAAGAGGGCCGCCAGACGGCTCAAGAGCCGCCCAAGACGACCCAAGAGGCGCCCGAGACGGGCCCAAGAGGGCCCCCCTGAGAGGGACCACGAACCGAAACATCTGGCATTCCGCCCCAGAAAGCCTCCAGGAAGCCAAGAGGCTCCCAGGACGCCTCCGAGACGCCCCGAGAGCCTCCCAGTGGGGTCGGCGGATGTGGCGCAAGCCTATCGAATTCTTGACCGTACTTGCTGTGCCGACTCTGCGGCGACCGCGTCTGTGGTCTCTCACTGGGCGCCTGGCCGCCAGGAAGGGGGCGGGGGGGGGGGGAATCTGGCGCGGCACGAGGCGGCCCCGCCGCCAACCGGGACCGCGGGCCACCTCGGGCGCCAGTGGACAGCGCATTGGCCCATGGGCTAGGCGGTGGGCCCAGTGCTGTGCAGCTGCGCGCAGCGCAGGGCCCTCTCCTCACAGACGGCGCCCCGCAGGGCTGCGTGGGTAAGGGGGCTGCGGAGAGAGCATGCCGAGACATGCTGAGCCCCCTGTGGCGCACGAGCCGCGAGCTGGGTGTGCCGAGCTGGGCGGGGGAACGCATATTCACGCGCCCGCTGGGGCCTCAAATGGAGCTCCCGTGGGGTACGATTTGCGGGAAAGGGTTGCCCATCTGGGCGGAAGCCAGCGGGCAAACCCTCCCATTTAGGCAATGGGTCAAACTCCCTGTTGGGCGCGATCCGTGTGAATAGTGTGGCGAAATGACGCGTAGGGACGCATGCAAGCGCCTTTCGAGCTCCCTGTTGCATGATCCGTATGATGCGTGTGCCGAACTGGGCGTGGGAAATCATGCCGACACCCTCATTGGTTGGGTGGAGCTCCCTGTGGGCACGATGCGTGTGAAGGTTGTGTCGAAATGGGCGTGGGGACGCATTCGGGCGCCCTAACTGGTGCCGTAGGTGGAGCTCCCGATTGGGCACGGTCCCTGTGAGGCGTGTGCCGACATGGGTGGGGGGAGCGCATGCGGGCGCCCTCACTGGGGCTTTGTGTTCAGGCCACTTTTTTTGAGCACATGCGTTTCCAGCAGGGCGCCGCCTCTGTGTAGGCGGGAGGTCGGGGCAGATACTGGTAAGCACCTCCTGCTGCGCGCTTGCCCGCGCCAAACCTGAAAACGCTTGTTCAACAACGGCTTCGGCGTGAATGCAGTAATGATAATAATGATAAGCCTCCGCCGCGCCCATCCATCAAACCAAAAAGAACTACACCCGGGGCCGAGAAGCCTTCGGAAAATACCTGCCCTACTATGCTCGGCGGTCCAGCGTTAGGATACCGAGACACCTCGCGCAAAAACGGTATGGCACATGCTTTGCAAGCTCGGCGATCCTGAATGATGGAGCCGAGACTACCAAACCTAGCGTGCCAAAGTGGCAATTCCTTCCAATCGGAACCAGGCTGTTGAAACACTCGGCACATTGCGCCTGGGCAGCGAGGGCTCCGGAGACTCCGAGCGGGGCGCAGGCCCTCAGAGCTTCAGGCCCCTCGAGGGGGAGAGGCCGTGCGGCAGCTCGACCCTGCCGTCCACGGGGCGGCCGCCCGCGGCCCACGCCGCGCGCAGCGCCTCCGCGCCCTCGCCCCCCACGCGGTTGCTGGCGAGGCCGAGCAGCTGCAGGCGCGGCAGGGCGCCCGGGGCCCGGAGGGCCGCCGCTAGAGCGGCCGCGCCCTCGTCCCCCACGCGGTTACCGTCGAGGCCGAGCAGCTGCAGGCTCGGCAGGGCGCCCGGGGCCCGGAGGGCCGCCGCCAGGGCGGCCGCGCCCTCGTCCCCCACGCGGTTACCGTCGAGGCCGAGCAGCTGCAGGCGCGGCAGGGCGACCGAAGCAAGCACCGCGGCCACCTGCCTGACCTCCTCGTCACCCCATCCCAGCCCCTGGTAGAGAAGCAACTCTGCGGACTCGAAGCGCTGCGTGAACGCCGACCGGTACAGCTCGGCAACCCGTGGGCGATCGTCCTTGCCGTTCGTGAAGCTCTTGCTGTGGAGCTCCGCTTCGAAGGCGTCGGGCAAGGCCGGCGCCTTACGCCCTGCGGACCCCGTGTGCGTCAGCGAACGGTCAGAGATGCCCAAATATTCTGTCTCGTCTCCAGTCGCTTGTCCGAGGTCCACCAAGAGGACCGAAAGCTTCGTCAACATTGCCCATGAGGACTCGCAAAAACACCAACCGCGGTCGAAATAAGGCGCAATGTTGCCAGATCGGGTGTATTCTGCAAAATTGTCATAATCGTCGGGGAACCGTGTCAACATGAATACGACTGTGGCGGGGTGGGAATAGAAACTCCCCAGGCTGCCCAAGGCATCCGTGAAGAGCTCACGCTCGCGCTCGAATTTGCCGATTGCGTTGGCCTCGAAGCACTCGGAACCTTCGAGCCGCTGATACGTGCACCGCTGAGGGGCGCCCTCGCAATCCCTGCAGTTCTGGTGAATGCAACAGAAATCCATAAACACTGCCCAGCGGCCATTGAACACAGGAATGCGATCTGCGGACATCAGCTGCAAAGCCCGGCTCAGGATGCGCACGTTGTGGCCGTGAGGGTCGGGGTGATTAGCCTGCAACCAACAGTGTGAGATACAAGCGACGTGCAGCAGTGGCATTGAGTCATCGTCAGGTATGGCAGCTTTGACCCCGCTGTGGGGCATGAACGCAGTCGGCGGCAAGGCCTGGCGCGGCTCGAGGGTTCCGCCGGAGCCCGCCCGCTCCACCACCCACTCCGCGTCCACCAGGACAACCGCCCCGCTGCCGAGCACGGGGTCGAGCTCAAGGCCGCCGAACTTCTCCCACAGCTCCTGCTCCCGCTCCGTCACTTCCACCTCCTCCAACTCGGGCAGGTGCGGCTGCTGCGGCGCCCCTGCGGCCTCGCCGGCCTCCTGCCCCACGGCGCTACCGTCGCAGCAACTCCAGCACAAGCATTTCGCAGCCAGCGCGCCGCCCTCGGGCGCCGACATCTTGGAAGCCGCGCGGAGGCCCAGGTGGTCCTGTGCACCTGTTCCTCCTCCGAGGAACTCCCTGGCTTTTGGGCCAGGCTTGAGCCAAAATGCCTACGGTTTATGCTCAGGCCACTTTGGTGCACGATCCGCGTGAGGAGTTTGGCGAAATTTGCGCGGGAACGCCCACGGGGCCGTATGTGGAGCTCCGTATGGGGGCACGAGGCGTGTGACATGTTCTGCCGAAATTGACATGCGGAGTGCAGGGGCAACGAGATGACTTTGAGGAGGAGGGGGAGGAGGTGGATGAGGAAGAGGAGGAGGGGGAGGAGGAGGAGGAGGAGGAGGAGGAGGAGGAGGAGGAGGAGGAGGAGGAGAAGGAAGAGGAGGAGGAGGAGGAGGAGGAGGAGGAGGAAGCATCCGCGTTTCGAGCCTTTGGGTGCACAGGGCACCAAAGGACCCGCGGGCGAGAGGTGGGCGCGGCGCCCCTCAGCCAAGGAGGTGCCCGCGACTGATCGCCACAGAACAACCGGCCGATCGATCTGCTCAAGTCGACCTCGTGCCGCCACTCGCACATGTGACGACCTCGCGACGGTGATGACAATCAAAGTGGGCAGCACAACATTGGCAGTACCATCCAACTTGGCAGTACAATCATCAACAGTACCATCCAAACTGGCAGTGCGATCGACATTGGCATCGCGATCGCCAGCAGCACCATCAGAAAAAGGCAGTGTTATCGTCAATGTTTAAGTTGGCAGAACAATCGTTGGCAGCACACGAGCACAATAGTCAGCATATGCTTCTGTCGCGTGGGGCCCTCAGTTCATCCAGGAAAAGGTGGCTCAGAGATCGGCGACAACATCTTGCGGTCTCAAATTACCACGCGAACGTTGAAATTTGCCATTGGACATACTGCGACTGGCACGGCACAGTGCAAAACGCGGTCAGAATATGGATCTCGGGCATAGTCCCACAGAGAAATGGGTTTTGCCAGAACTCGTTCCGAGTGTCACAACATTGCCGCCGCCACTGGAGTATACGCCAAGACTTCAGGCGTCTGATAACCCCGAAGACTTACACAGTTTGATCCCCGACCTTTCGGACAACCGCACGCCAACTCCTGCGGCTGGTTTTGGAACTCTGGCTCCAGGGCCAACGGATATGATTACACAAATTGCTCCCGCTTGGGCAGACGAGATGGACCCGAGGCGTTGTCCCCGACACCCTCGCACACCCGGCACCTTCGACATCGTCGACGAAGATGTCGCATCGAGGAACTCCGTCGCCCATGCAAAACAAGACGAATAAATACTCGGGTGCAGACACGCGTACCGTGAAACACGACAAGTCAATTATTTGGCACACTCACTTTCATCCCCGCATCCGGCTTACCAAGACTTGGTCGCACTTGGTTTGAACAGAAGCTTGAGTTGATTGAAGAAGATATAGCAGAATTTGATGGGGACCGAGCCGCCCACTTTGACTCAAGCGATTTGGCGGGGCCAGAAGCGTCTTTTGATGACTACGTGGAAGCAATACTCCATCCTATCGAGTCAGACAGCGTGTCGGTGTTGCGCCACTTTCGAACAAAAACGTTGCGCAAACCGGCGGGGTTCACATTGACGGCCTCTTCTGTGCCGCCGGAGTCTTGCGCGCCATACCCTGTGCACTGGGCAAAACATCAAACTGCAATGTTGCCGGCGCATCTGAACATCCTCCCGTCATCTCCTCTTCCATCACCTCAGAGCGACAGGATGACAGCCTCGATGGAGGAGTCCTTTTCGCTCGGGAAGTGCGGCTCTCAGTCGAGCAGCGCCTTCAACGGGCCCAAACAAATGAGGAAACCCATACGACAACTGGCAATCTGCAATCTTCATCGCCTTTCATGTATACTATTCGATCGTGCTCCGTCGCTCCATCGCCCTCCCGCCCTCGGCGAGCGCACTGCTCTGCACACCTGCGCGCTGCCGCGCCCCCGCCGCTGAAGGCCGAGCCACATCTGGGCAGCCCACCGCCACGGCGCGACCACAGCAGTGGAGGAGAAGGTTTAAGTCGGGCCTGTCCCCCTACAGGGGGATTTTCGACGAAAAAATCGCCGGCCCAACGGGCCAGAGGCGTGCTAAGATCTCTGGTAACTGGTTAACAATATTTCTAGTTCGCGCGCGCGGGGCGGCCCCTGGGGGTCCCCCGGCGAAAAATATCCCGACCGCAGCCCGACCAAGTCTACCCAGAGATGGTTTTGATGGCCTTTCTTCGACACCCCTCACGAGGATCGTGGCCTCCGAGGGGGGTGCACTCGACTACCCCGCCCCAAGAGGCCCCCAAGAGCCCCCCAAGAGGCCCAAGGTGGCCCCAAGACGCCGCCAAGGAGCCCCAAGAGACCCCCAAAAGGCCCCCAAGAGGCCCCAGGAGGCCCCCAAGAGGCCCCATAGAGCGCTCGAGGGCCGGCGGAATGAGCGAAGCGACTAAATAAAAAATGCCCCCCAAACGCACCGAACAGGCCAAAACATACTCAAATTATCCCGGCAAAGCAACCTAACAGCGATGTGTAGGAGCATATCTGAAAGCATTCCCCTTAAGATTCAGATGAAAATCCAGTTGTCGAATTCTGCTGTTCTCGCAGTCGTAGTCGCATTCGCGATGACAGTCGCAGCGGCAACGGCAGTCGCAGTCACAGCCTCAGCCTCAGCCTGCCTCCTCCTCCTCCTCCTCTTTTTCCTGCTCCTCCTCCTCCTCCTCCTCCTCCTCCTCCTCCTCTTCCTCCTGCTCGTCCTCGTTCTCGTCCTCCTCGTCTTGCTCGTCCTCCTCCTCCTGGTGCTCTCTCCTCCTCCCCTCCTCCTCCTCCTCCTCCTCCTCCTCCTCCTCCTCCTCCTCCTGGTGGTCCTCGTTCTCCTCCTCCTGGTGCTCTCCCCCCCCCTCCTCCTCCTCGTCCTCCTCCTCCTCCTCCTCCTCGTCCTCCTCCTCCTCTTCCTCCTCCTCCTCCTCCTCCTCCTCCTCCTCCTCCTGGTAGTCCTCCCCCTCCCCTCCTCCTCCTCCTCCTCCTCTTCCTGGTCGTCCTCGTTCTCGTCCTCCTCGTCTTGCTCGTCCTTCTCCTCCTGGTGTTCTCTCCTCCTCCTCCTCCTCCTCCTCCTCCTCTCTCCTCCTGGTGGTCCTCGTTCTCCTCCTCCTGGTACTCTCCCCCCCCCTCCTCCTCCTCCTCCTCGTCCTCGTCCTCCTCCTCCTCCTCCTCCTCTTCCTCCTCCTCCTCCTCCTCCTCCTCCTCCTCCTGGTACTCCTCCCCCTCCCCTCCTCCTCCTCCTCCTCTTCCTGGTCGTCCTCCTCCTCCTGGTCGTCCTCCTCCTCCTGCTCGTCCTCCTCCTCCTCCTGCTCGTCCTTCTTCTCCTGCTCCTCCTGCTCCTCGTCCTGCTCCTGCTCGTCCTCGTCCTCCTGGTCTTGCTCGTCCTCCTCCTCGTCGTGCTCTTGCCCCTGCTGAAAATGTGGCCCAGGAATGGGAGTTCTGGGAAGTCGAAGAGCACGAAGTTGCCTACAGTTGGGTACGGGCATTCAAAATGTGGCCCGGGAATGGAGTTCTGGGAACTCGAAGAGCACGAAGTGGCCTACAGTTGGCTCCGGGCATTCAAAATGTGGCCCGGGAATGGAGTTCTGGGAACTCGAAGAGCACGAAGTGGCCTACAGTTGGCTCCGGGCATTCAAAATGTGGCCCGGGAATGGAGTTCTGGGAACTCGAAGAGCACGAAGTGGCCTACAGTTGGCTCCGGGCATCCAAAATGTGGCCCGGGAATGGCGTTCTGGGAACTCGAAGAGCACGAAGTGTGTGACTGTTGCATCCGGCCCCCCAGAATGTGGCCCGGGAATGGCGTTCTGGGATGTCGAAGAGCACTTTGTGTGTGACTGTTGCATCCGGCCCCCCAGAATGTGGCCTGGGAATGGAGTTCTGGGAAGGCGAAGAGCACGAAGTGTGTGACTGTTGGTGAAAAACGAGCCCGGCTCATGCCGCCCGGAAACGCCCCAACACCTGCCCGGACCCCCCTGTGGAGTGATCTGCTGCTCTCTTTTGAGTCAACTAGAAACCTATCAGTCTTCGCTGTTAGGTAAAAATAGTCCCCAGACTATTTTTGGAGCATCTTCGTTTTTTTTTTTTTTTTTTTTTTTTTTTTTTTTTTTTCTTTTTTTCTTTTTTTTTTTTTTTTTTTTATTTATTTTTCGTCGAAAATCCCCCTGTAGGGGGAGAGGCCCGACTTAGGAGAAGGTGGCCCGTGCGCCTCGATGCCGCAGTGCATGCTCGAGCGCAGCGGCGCCCGAGAAACGAACGGGAGGTGGAAGGCAACCCCGCTCCTCTCGGTCCGCCGCGCCTCCTCCTTACGGCACGTGGGCCACGGGACCACCGGGGCGGACCCTGGAGACGGCACTTCTCGGTTCGTGAGCGCGCATCGGAAGCCTTCTCTGTCTGCCACCAAGTCGTGGTACCCCAGGCGAGGCGGGGGGGGGTTTGGAGTAGGAGGTTCGAGGAGGAGGAGTAGGAGGTGGAGGTGAACCATTCACTCTGAGGTCGCGGTGCATGCTCGGGCGCAGCGGCGCCCGAGACGAACCGAGGCTGAAAGTAGCTCCGCTCCTCGTCAGCCCTGCCTTCAGTTTTGTTTGGCACGTGAGGCACGTGGCCACCAAGACAAACGATGGAGTCGGCATCTCTCAGTTGATTTGCGTGCATGGGAGGCCGTTTCTTCCTGCCGCCAGTCGTGACACCCTAGGCGTAGCGGGGGTGGTCTGGGGTCGATGGGAGAATGGAGAAGGGGAGGATGTTGAGGTGGACCGTTCACCTTGAAGCCGCGGTGTATGCTCGAGCGCAATGGCGCCCAAGACGATCATAAACTTGATGCAGCCCCGCTTCTCGGTCCTCTCCGCCTCAATTTTTTGTTACGTGAAGCACGCGGCCACCAAGACAGACGATGGGGTCGGCATCTCTCAGCCGACTTGGCGTGCATGTGGGCATGGGAGGCCGTTTCTTTCTGCCACTAGTCGCTGTACCCTAGGCGTGGCGGGGGAGGCTTGGGAGTAGGAGATAGAGGTGGGGGAGGAGGTGGGCCGTTCCCCTTGATGTCGCGGTGTCTGCTCGAGCGCAGCGGCCACCGAGACGAACAGAGGCCGAACGCAGCCCCGCTCCTCGGTCCGCTCCGCCTTCTTTTCTGTTCGGGGGGGGGGGCGCGGGAAGCGCGTGGCCACCAAGACAGGCTATGGAGTTGGCATCTCTCAGTCGATTTGCGTACATTGGATGCTGTTTCTTTCTGCCGCCAGTAGTGGTACCCTAGGCGCGGCGGGGGCGGTCTGGAGAGAGGAGGAGGAGGAGGAGGAGGAGGAGGAGGAGGATGAGGAGGAGGAGGAGGAGGAGGAGGAGGAGGTGGAGGAGGAGGAGGAGGAGAGGAGGAGAGGAGGAGGAGGAGGAGGCGGAGGAGGAGGAGGACTTGAAGTGATATGGCTTCGGGGCGCCTTAACCGCATGGGTGGAGCCAGTGACCTGGTATTACCACCCTTGTACCACTCAAGGTCAGGACCACTTTGGGACAAAACGAAAATCTGTCTGGAGGGCGTCCCACAAGACAACGCCGGCTTTGTCCAACAAAGCTTGCCCTCCCTCGAGCGTGACAGCCCAGCATGGACGCAGCGCCCGATGGGATGGTGAAGTCAGGGCGGATAGAACCTGAAGGCCCCTATTGGTTCAAGCTGGATTGTCGGAAAGACCGAGGATATCCCCCTCTGAGCAGGGGCTAATCCTCGGACCAAGCCGCCTCCATTTTGTGTTAGTACTCTGGCACGTGAACCACGCAGCCACCAAGACAGACTATGGAGTCTTGATCTCTCACTTGATTTGCGCGCATGGGAGGCCGTTTCTTTCTGTCACCAGTCGTGGTACCCTTGGCGTAGCGGGGGGGTCATGAGTAAGAGAGATGAGGTGGAGGTGGAGCGAACGAGTGAAGCCGCCAACCAAGCCGAGCTGAGGCGAACTGCAGCAAGCGCGCAATTCTTTTTGCTGCATCCGTCTTGGGTGGGGGTGGAGGCGTGGTGGGCTGGATATTGATGGGTATGGAGGTGGAGGAGGAGGCGTGCGTGTCGATCGCTGCGAGCGTATTGACCGCCACAGATAAGCTTCAAGCGCGTAGCCAATGATCTTACCGTCCGCATTGCACTCTCGATCAAGAGTAGCGGCTGCCGCCGCATTTGCCGAATTGTGCCACTTCGAAGGAAGAGGAGATGCAGAATTTGAGGGGATAATTTGAACCTGACCCTCAGGGATGGCACGATCACGGGCATCTTTACACGGGCCTGACACAAGCATCTTTACATCGACTCATCCTTGCTGCCAGGGCACCGTTACAGTGGCCCTGCCATTTTCGATACATGTGTAGAGCATGTTATCATCATGACGTGGATGTGGATGTAAATGACGGGGGAGGAGAAAGTTCCTGGCTTGACCTGTGCCTGCAAGATACATGCTCTCGTTCCTATACTTTCCCACCTTTCTACAGCCGCGAGGCGCCTTCATTTATTCCGCACTGTTGCAGGGCACTAGGCTGCTGCAACTAGTTCCACGACTGACGCCACAAGCTTGCTCTTCACATCGGATCAACGTAAAAAGGAGGATGAGGATGAGGAGGCGGAGGAGGAGGAGGAGGAGGAGGAGGAGGAGGAGGAGGAGGAGGAGGAGGAGTGAGAAGGAGTGGACGAACGGCGCTGCAGAGTCACAACGATGACCCAACAATACAGAAGGTTGGGAACGCCCCCCAGAGGGCGAATTACGATCTCAACACGGGATCCCATCTCAAACAACATAAACGCACATGGCTCCTATTCCGAATTCCGCCCTTCTTCCTCCTCCTTCTCCTCCTGCTCCATCGACTCTTCCTCCTCTCCCTAGTCCTCCGCCTCCTCCCTCATCCCCCGCTTCCTAGCCCTGTCTTCATCCAGCCCCTCTTCCATCCTGCTTCCTCCTCCTCCTCCTACTGCTCCTCTGGTTCTTCCTTCTCCTCCTCCTTCATTTTCCTCCTTTCTCCACTCCCTCGTCCCCCGCCTCCTCCCCCTTCCCCTCTTGATCTTCGTCCTGCTCCTCCTTCCCTGTCTCCCTCTTCTCCTCATCATGATCATCCTCCCCTTTCCCGCCTTCTCATCATCCTCTTTCTCTTCTTACCCTTCCTTACCCTTCCTCTTCACGCTGCATTCACCCCCAGCCCTCTCTTCTCATCCCACATTCCCTCTCCTCCTCCTCCTCCTCCTCCTCCTCCTGCTCCTCCTCCTCCCTCCCCTGATCACCCTCGTCCTGCTTCCCCTGCTCCCTCTGCTCCTCCTCCTCCTCCTCCTCCTCCTCCTTCTTCCTCCTCTGCAACACACTCGGGGCAGCATGGAGAATCAGTCGGGGCACCCTCGGGACACAACCGAGCGGAACTAGATCGGGACGCCACCGCGAAACCATTAACGCTCAATTGGCACACCACCGTCGAACACATTTGCTTGTTGCTTTGTTTTGTGCTCCCGCTGGGGCCTGCATGCCTGCGCGACTGTCCTCCCGTCCCTCGGCTCTCGCCGCAGCGGGCCGAGGGCGACGTGCACCTTGGCGCCCGCGCCTGCGCGCTCAGTCCTCCATGTCGTCCGCGCCCTTCGGGGGCTTCCCGCACGGCTGGATCATCGCCTGCAGGCAGTTGAACCGCACGCGGGCCACGGGTTCGTTCTCGCACAGGGCGAAGTACGCCAGGCGCGTGTAGTGGCCGACGTGGGAGGCCATGGTGTCCCTGCTTGGGCATGCAAGGACCGGGTCCTGGGTCCCAGGGGCCCTTCGTCCTGCGGCATTCCCCGAGGAGGAGGAGGAGACGAGCGTAAAAGAAGTCCTTACACTTCTCGATTTGTGCGTGTCATCCTTGCGCAGGGGCCATGCTAATCTTCTCTGTATCGTTCCAATTTTAACGGATGATCCCCGAAGGGGGAGGAGGAGGAGGAGGAGGAGGAGGAGGAGGAGGAGGAGGAGGAGGTGGGGGAGGAGGAGGCGGAGGAGAAGGAGCCCCCCTAGACTTGAAGAACAGAGACCCCGACCCGCCTCTCGCACACCCTGCTTATAGCGCGGCCGCGAGGCTCAGAATGCGTCGGTGCTCCCTGGGGCTCCCGCCACGCCTTCTCGGGTGGGCCTCGCTCGAAACAAAAACGATGGCTTGACGGTCCCGGGGCCCGGCGAGGGCCATGGGACGCCTCCGTTCCCTCGAGATCCGTTTGCTCCCTGGCGGCCTGTGGATGTTCGTGGCCCACTCCCACTTGGTCGTGTCGGCACCGCCGGTCCCGTGGTACTTCGTCTGCAGGTGCTCCATCTGCGCGTGCACGTGGAAACGGTCGTAGACCTCGGGGGGTTCCAGAGGGGGGCTTCAGCTCGGGCCTCCTGTGGCCCCTCGGGACACTCTGGGCGACCCCGGAGAGTCCTCGACGAGGCGCAGCTGCTGGAACTGCATCCCGAGACGAGAGGACGGCGTTCGGACACCGCCCAGGGACGATCACCCCGGTCCTCGTAGCGCCTTGCCTCGGAGCGTGGACCCCCAGAGGTCGCGACAACTTCCCCGGGACCTGTTCTTCATTCGGGGATCTGCCGACTGGGGCCTATCGCAGACCCGGGTCAGTCAGGCCTTGCAGACTCCTGCAACATCCTGCAAGATACTGCGCCTAAACCCGAGTCAAGGCGAAGGATCCTGCAAGATCCTGCAGGATCCTGCGCCCAAACCAGGGTCAACGCGACCCTGGCCTCTGCAAGATCCTGCAAGATCGTGCGCTCTGGCTGACCCCCGCTTGCATTGACCCCGGTCTCTTGAGCCCCGACCAGGCCTTTTTCTTTGCCGGTCCTGGGGCCAGGTGAGGTTACCAGCCTGGAGCATATCCCTATCCTATGCTGGGCATCGCCTCATCACGATGCTAATCTCAGGGATTCCCTTTGGTTTTGTGGGCGCATCCCTAAGATTGTCATCGCCTTTTGGCGTGTCCATCTTAGGGATAGGGATAAATTCGAGGCTGGTGATGAGGGCCTCAAAGGGCGGAAGACGGCAAAAAGCCCCCGCCGCCGTGATTCTCTCACGGCGCGAGGCGGCGGGGGTCCCACGGGCCCCACGCGCGCAACCAGCTTCGGCCCCGCCGCCGGGAGTGGCTCTCGACACCGCACGGGAGCCACAAGCGCCGGGGGGGGGCTAAGACAAACAGCTGCGTGCGCTGATCTGGTACCCCATTGTCCGACACGCGCGGTGTTCTCTCCACGACGGCAGGAGGCGGGGACGACCGAGGCAGCAGTGGGCATCTTCGCCTCACACTTTGCCGCCACGCGTCTGAGCACAACTCGCAGCTTGCGTCCATCCCTCCCGCCCCCCCCTGTTTCTTCCTGCTCTGGCGCCTTTTCCTGCCCCCTCGCCGGGCTGCCACTGGAATCCTTAACTGCCCTCTCGCCCGTCTGGATGCTTGGCATCTGCTTGCTTGTCTCGAGGGCGTCCATGAGGGGGGCGTCCAAGAGGGGCGGTCGCACATCATGGCCCGAGGCACGTGCCCGGTCCAGGGAGGGCCATGCGACGTGCTGAAAGAAGAAGGGACGCCGTGCAGTCTGGGGAGATATCATGGCCCCCACCATGATATCCACCTCTCCCTATCGGCGGCGAGCGAGGGGGGGAAATGAGAAGAAAATGATAAGGATTTCTCAGAAGGCTCGGAAGTCCCGAGGCTTTCTGAGCCTTCCCTGGAGAGGCAGAAAACCTCCCAGAAGGCGCGCGGGCTTCCGATAAGCCCCGCCGCCTTCTGAGAGGGCCTTCTCCCTCTCACTTCCCTCCCTCGCTCGCAGCCGACCCTGGTCATCACTCCCCTCCTGGCCGCCCCCGATGGCTTGCCTGCTTCCTGGGTCGGAGGATGAGGAGAAAGAGGAGGTGGAGGAAGAGGAGGGGAATGAGGAGGAGGAGGAGGAAGAGGAGGAGGAGGAGGATGAGGAGTCGGAGGAGGAGGAGGAGGAGGAGGAGGAGGAGGAGAAAAAAGAGGAATCAGAGTCGGAATCAGAATCGGAATTGGAGTCGGAAACGGAATCGGATTCGGAATCGGAAGCGGAGTCGGAGCTGGAGCCGGAGTCGGAGTCGGAATCGGAGTTGGAGTCGGAGTCGGAGTCGGTGTCGGAGTCGGAGTCGGAGTCGGAGGAGACAGAAGACTCGGGTGAGTCGGAGAAGTCGGAGGAATCGGAAGAGTCGGAGGAGCCGGAGTCGGAGTCGGAGTCGGAGTCGGAGGAGGAGTCGGATGAGGAGGAGGAAGAGGAGGAGGAGGACAAGGAGGAGGAGGA